GATGGGATTTGAACACCCAACCTACCACTTGGGGGGTTGACAACCTGACCACTTCACTAGGTCGCCACACCCCTTAAACTGCTATTTACAAAAAAAGTTGATTATGTATTTTCTTATTTTTTGTAGTACTTTGATTTTTTGAAAATTATTTTAAACTTCTAGTAAGATTGAGTTAAATATCTTTTTTATATCTTATAGTAATATCTATATTTATTTGTTTTTTTTTTTATATCTTCTTTATTATTATATTTAATATGTATATAATTAGTTTATTCTATTAAATTGTTTAGCAAATCTGCATAGTTTGATTCTTTAGTATTTGTCTTTCTGTAAATATCTTGATTAATCTTTTTGTGATTACTTTTATAATAACCTTTCTAAAGTCTCAATTATTTTTATTAGTTTAATATTATTTAGACTATTATTAAAAATTTTTTTTGATAAATATTAATTAATATATAGCAAATAATCAATATAAATCAATTTAAAAATATTATTATCATTATCAACTTACTTTACTAATCTTTGATTTCAAAACAAGTAAAAACAAAATACAAAAATAATAAGAAAACAAAGTTAAAAGACCAAAAAGAATCATCTTAAAAACCAAAAAACAAACATAAAAGATAAGCAAGACAAAAAAAATAAAATATAAAATAATCTTAACCAGTTACAATTGGTTGATATAAAATATTTTAGTTCAGTTAACTAATTAAAAAATTTTTTCTTAGTTCAAATTACTAAAAAAAATTCAAATTGTTTTAACAAAATATATACATATGATGCTAGCAATTTGCTTGTGATTATAATTAAAATGCTAAAACTTTTTAAAGACATTTTTTTAAAAAAAACTACCTATAACTTTATACACTAAACTTTATGAAGTTGATGATCAGATTTTTAAAAGTATTCTTCTATAAAAAGTTATAATAATTCAAAAACTAGCCAAAATTTACGACTCTATAATTCTATATAAAAGAATTGTTTTCTAAAAACTGATCATTAACTTTGTAAAGCTCAGTCTTGTGTATAAAAAAGTTTTAGCTTTTAAAAAGAATAAATGTTCTCGTAACAACCTAACAACCTCGGATTAGCCAATAGTAGTTAGAGTTAGGGTTTGTGTTACACAAAGTTTTGATTATTTTTATTGGTTAAATTTGGCGCAGTATATCGAAATACGATCACGCGTGATTGTCGAGCTGCCGGCACCATATATAGAATAATAATAAAATATAATAGATTATATAATACGATAATAATACCATAATCTTTGGCAAGAACTGTTATATTTTTTACACTGTATAATACTATATACAGTCAACTCTTATAACGAACTGGTGGTTCTTGTAGTAATAAATTTTTAAAAATTCATTATAGAGTAAATTATTAGTTTTCTATACCGAAATCGATAATAAATTTATTTTTAAAAAGTTTCGTTAATGAAACTGTTCTAATGCTTTATACTCTTAGTTATACGTCACGCATTTTAATTGTGTAACTAATACAAATATAAAGATCAGGGTTAAATGTACATATAAAGTGTCGTGAAGACGAGACAAATGTTAAGATATTCGACTTGACTCGTTCGTGATCCAATCCGTCCCCTGTATCTTGCTTTTATACTTTCGGTCAAAGTTTTATACTCTTGATAATGGTGGATTTCGAGAGATATCAGGTATGACAAATATCAGCTTATTAGAAGTAAATTTAAAACAAGCCACTCAGTTTTTTTTTTAATGTCGCAATCTCTTTTGTCCATAACCTAGCAAGCTCTTAGTATTGTGAATCAATTACTCGTTAAAGATCTAAAAGCGTGCAATAAAGTTTTGAATTCATGCCAAGGAGCTAAATTGGATTGTAACTTGAAAAAACCTGAACTTTGCAGAAATTTAACTGAATACATGAAAAGGATAAGGGAGACTAATATACCACATACTATAAATGAAATGTCCGAAATTATATTGCGAAAAGGTGTACAACAACCAAGGTATGATTATTTTACCGCTTATTTGATGTGTATATATAATTTACTATAATAGCCACTGAACTGTCGTTTAAAATCAATACGCAATTTCGTTAAATAATGCATCATCTTTATGCAAAACTCCACCGGTTCATATCATGATTAGGCCTCCCCTGAAGCCTTCAAACATTACTCATTCCCGCGTGCAACCTAATCTTAAGCATAGGCTAGTTATTAATCCTCCTATCCAACTCTATGGTTCAAATCATAATATTCAATTCAGGTCATCACCGTTTTACGATATTATAGAATCAATTACGGATTTCAGAATATTGGACGGTAAGGTGATTTTTGAAGTGTCTATACTGGATTTTTTTTTCCGAAGTATATTTAATATTTTAACGTTTTTACATATATTTAGGGTCAAATGACAATACGCGAAATTCAGTTACTATTGACTTCTATCTAACACTAGATCAAGTTCGACATCTTCAGACGGCAAGGTTAGAATAAATTTATGCTAAATAAATGGTTGTGATCTTGTTTATGACTAGTAACAATAATTGTTTTATGAAGGAATGTAGCATACTACCAGATACGTTTATTCTGTTGTGCCGAACCTTTCGACAATGGATCTTCTAATTCTAATGCAGTGGTTGAATTTCCACTAATGTGTGAGATTCAAGTTAACGATGACACATTGCCAGCTGTAAGGATTATTAAATTACGTGGTGTTATTCTAAACGAATTAGTTCTATGGCATGTGTGCTAAGTTTCATATGGCCATATTATAGAACACTAGAGGAATTAAAAAGATGGTTGGTTCAGTACATCCGATAGATATAACTCCGCTTTGCAAGATAAATACTACTTATCAAAATAAGCTTAAGTTTGTGTATGCGAATATTACCAAGGTAACTATTTTATTCTACAATTTGGCCAAGTTTCTTATTGTTATTATTATGATTATTATTACTATTGTTATTGTTTTTTATTTTCATTTATAGAGATATTTAATTAATCTTCAGTTGATTAAGAAGAAGTCAGTTGATCACATCGTAGATCAAATAAAAAATGGAAGAATAATCACAAAAGAAGAAACATTAAAAAAGTGTAAATGTTTCTATTTGTGATCAAAATTATATTATTTATGCTTATTTCACTTGTTCGTCACTTATTTGTTGCTTGTAATAGGGAAAAATGCTTCTGAGGATGATATAGTGCTTGGATCAAGCCAAATTTCACTGAAAGATCCGGTATGCATGAATTATTTCTGAAACTTTTGTATATTGGTTTCCTTAATACCCTTTCTCATTCTTATATTGAATATTAGTTAGGGTATACGAGAATCCAAGTCCCATGTAAATTTTCTCGTTGTAGACATGTACAGTGCTTCGATGCGTACTTATTTTTTCAAATGAATGAACAAACACCAACCTGGTTATGTCCTATTTGCAATAATGTTGGATCATGGTCCGATATTGTAGTAGATGGGTTAGTTTATAAATTTATTTATTTATTTATCTATTTATTATTTATTTATTTAAAAAAGAAGGATTCTCAATTTTAGCTTTAATATAAATATTTGGTTCTCATAATCTCCGCAATGTTAGTTACTTTGCCGACATACTTAATAACACGTCTCAAGACCAGGAACGCATTATAATCGAGCCTAACGGCGAATGGTCTGTTCAGAAAAAACGGAATATTTCAGAAGAGCTGGTTCATTCTCCTGTTACTAAAACTTCAAAAAAGACACGTTTTGTGGAACCACCGATAGATGTATACGTGATAGATGACTCAGAAGACGAGAGCCTTCCTATACAGCCAAGTAAACCGATTCAATCGCATCCACCTACGTTTAATGGGAAAGAGATAATTGACCTTACATTAAGTAGCGATGAAGAAGAGACACCAACAATCAACAGTAACAAAGATATTATCAGAAATGCTGCCTCAGGTATCAACAGATCTTCTATTAAGTTAGAAATTCCTCAAGATCCAAATATCCAAACACAACCTATATCATCTATGAAGGTAGCCTATTCTTCCCCTACGTCTCAATCCCCAACCTTTGATACTACTATTTCTTCCCATTTTTATGATCAGTACCCCTTAAGTAAATCATCGCATTATTATGATAATCCAGAACCCGCGTTAATTACTTCACCTGGTTCAATAGGAGATAGTTACGGATTTTACATGGGTGCTGATCCTAATTTTCACAATGAATATGATAATTATGATTTCTAATTCGACCATTTGCCTTGATCTCGATATACAAGGTTAGCTTATTAAAGATCACAATCTTATCCATTATTATTTGTTCTAAACTAATTAACCCTATTTTTTAGTATTAATGGCTTAAATTGTGGAGTGATTGTTTCTTTTACAAATTTTGTATATACTATCGTTTTATCAAGTTAGAATTTCAGTTAGCAAGATTTGATGATTTGATGAAGTATCTGGGGATTTAAAATCTTTTATCCAGAAATGTAAAATTCAGGTCTAATTTAATGCCTGTAATTTTTTTGTGGATGCACACTTACAAAATAAACACTTTTATAGACGGTGGGTAAATGCGACACATTTGTACTCTAAACATTTCGCAATAATATAAACCAAACTGATTTGGCTACTTGTATACTATACTATTACCCCTAATAATTTACATTAAATTTGTGAATAAATTCTGCATAAAAATTGGATTATATATTTTAAACTAATTAATATACTGTATCATAATGTCATAATTAGAGATTAAATCCGGTTATTTGAAATGATCCTGATATCAGTAATACTTTTGTATAAATATATGGATCTAAGCTCTATATATGATCGTTCCACAGTCAAAAGTAGATATCATTATTTAAAACATGAAAATAACGAATGAGTTATTATTTTGCAATCTATAAATAATAGGAAATGTACCCTCAAACTTTCACAACACCATAAATAACTTCATAGTATTTTACTCTAAACATTTGAAGGAATATGTATTAAATATAGAATTTTGATTTTACCTAATAGTAATAATATGCAAATGCGTAAAGACTATTCATATTAGTGTTTAAAATAAATTGAATATATTAAATTCCTTGGACAACACGGGGCCACTGCTGTCGAATTCTCTCAAATAACAAAGGTTTGGTTCTTCTTAACGCATCTGGATCTTCAGCCAAAGCAACGAAGGTAGTTGAGACACCAGAGCTGATGGCATCAGTAATAACCACCTATTTAAAAATATATGTGATTACAATAAATAAATTTGGTTTAACATTTAAAATAATATAATTAAACCTTTTACTTACACACATCATAAAACCAATTACAAAACAGATTAGTACAAATATAATTATTAAAGTCGGATTGTCCGTTAATAAATGGGTTATGAAAAGGTAAATGTAAACGAATCCAAGTAATCCACAAAGAACACCAATTAAAAGGGAGCCCATAGTTAACACATTTCCAATAAGATCATCGTTTATGATAGCTTCAATACCACGATCTTTGATCAAGGTCCAAGTATCTTTGGCAGCTTGACAGTAAGATTTACCATATATCGCGACTATTTAAGAATATATATTAAAATGATTAGAAGTTGATACGGTAAAAAAAAAACATATATATATATGTATGTATATGTTGTAAGTGGAAACAGAATTTAAGTGGATTTGGAATTTTCTAGTTAAACTAGGGTTAGGATAAGGGTGTTCATATGACAAAATCAACCCCAAAATGCTGGTTTTATATAAAAATTCCGAACCCACTTAAATTCCGTTTTTACTTACAACATATATATATGTATTAAAAAAATTCACCTTGAACATAAGCGTAAAAATTAAAGTATTCAACAAGAGACTCGATCCATGCCAACAAGCAAGCGATACAGAGTGCAAGAAATCCGCAGACACCTTCATCACTATTCGCAAAACTTTGTAACACTGCTCTAGCAGTATTAAGGAGTGCAATGATTAAACTTCCGAAACAAACGCTACCTATAGAGGTTGTAGTTGCACGCTTAAACGAGCTAAGAGTTGGAGTAGTGCCTGTTCCTTGAGGAGTGCCTTCAAGGAAATAATATGTTGCATAAACTCCTGAGGCAGTAACATGAACAATAGTCTTTATGACCTGACTTGTCCAATAGAAACTGAAAACCAAATATACTAATATTAGGTAGAGGCCAACGCTACAGGACTTTTGATTATTATTCTTAACAGTACAAAACACCGAGTCAAAATGTTCATAACTAGAAACAAAAAAATAATTTAGCGAAAGTTACATATAATTACATATTACATATTATTATGAACTTACGCTCCAATTAGACTCAAAATCCATAAGAACGACCATCCCACCTGAACTATTAATCCTATAAAACCCATTAAAATGACACCATAATATTTTCTTGTGATGCTTACAACTGTCTCCAACATAATTGCCGCAAAAGGAATACGGTTACGCCAACTAAAGGCGGCGATTAAATATAATACTCCAAAAATTACAAAAATAATTGACTAAATTTGATTTTGTCTATTAGATGATATTCATAAATTAAACGCAAAAAATCATCACATTTAGATAAAAAGGAAACTTACCAAAAAATATGAGCGAATTAAGAAAAAGACTGCAGCGGCAATAAAATATGTGGCAATCGACAGATATAATGTTATTCTAATAAGAGGTTGTGGAAACCTTTGCATTAAAAGCAGATAAATAACACTCAAAATAAGCCCAATCACTCCAGAAATAACAAATGGTGGAATTATTTCAGGGTTAAAAAAATTATTCCCCTTTCCAAGTTCATTGTTGTCTATAAGCCGCTTTAGCCCAATATAGGCAAGAATCACGAAACCAGCAAGGTGAGCGAGAAACAGTAGAAAGGCCCATAAATCTAAAATATACATATATATTATTTGCAAAATTCTACCGTTTCAGGAAATATTAATCGAATTCCACACATGCCTTGATATTTTGGGTTTGGATTCCACTTTTCTGCTATCGAGCCACGAAATGATCCCTGCTCATACGCGGGTGGTTGATATTGTGGAACCGGTGAATACCTTCCTGTCTGAGGTTGGTAATATTGCTGGTCCGTCTGAGAATAATAGGGCTGTGAAGGTGCTGGCGGAGGTGGGTAATGTTGACTCATTATCTTTCGAATCAATCGTCAGAATATAAACTTTAACGCTAGGCTTTAACGTTGACGTAAATAAAATTCTTAAAGGCTCGGCTTATTTGTGGCTTCTATTTCTCAAGTGTAACCTAAAATTTATAATTATCTATTCTTTAGAAGCTGGTTTATACACTGAAACTGTTTCAAAAATATCTTGAATTAGACTGTTTCAATCTTATCGTTATTACGTTTCTTTTTATAGTAAAAATATAAGCTATACATTACGAATACGTAGTATATTGCGGAACCATACTAATACGCATGACGATGACGATTTTTATTTATTTACCAAAAGCGTGTGGTTTATTTATATTGTTATTTTGAAGTCAATTCACATTCAATTTAAAAATTTTATCGCTATTTATAACGATAAAGGTATAAAGGTTGTCTATGATGAATTCATAAATCCGAGACCTATTTGTCTGAATGTAATGAATAGTATGGATTGTTTTTTTTTCTTGGCAACAGCCGTTAAGTTTAAATTTTGGAAATCAAATCGACTCAAATTCCATCCCTTTCTATTTTATGTAGCACGTAAAATTTCTAAAACTCAAAGCTATAAATACGCATGCTAAAATAGTTTAAGAATTGGATCAACATGGAATTCATACTTACCAATTAAGTATTCAGTAATTACACTAAATTTTTATTAACAGACTTGGTATGGTTAGTGTTAGGACAAACATAGTATTGCCATTTTTCCTTGTTAAAGTAAGAGCAGGTAGTAGAAAAAATAACGTTGACTTTTTTCTTTTACAAACCATACGTTCTGTTATGATTTTTACATGTTCATATAAGTAGAAATCTAAATAGGCCTCACCGTTAATATTTTTTTTTTAAAAAAAAGAAATCTAAATAGAATTTATTTTATATAAACCTACACACTATTGTGAAAAAAAATTCTAGTAAATTTAAATTTTGTTTTACTTACAATAAAATTTTTTTTCACTTAGGCAGTCTTATTATTAACTTTTATTGAGTATTTTTAATTTTGTACAAAATAGCATTAATCTTGAATTCCAAGCATAATAATTTGTAATTATTTTTATAAGAAGCATATTTGATTATCTTATAATAGAATATTATCAATTTATAGTATTTTTTTATAGAAAAGCAAAAATCAAAAAATATAATTAAAAAATAAAAAGAAAAAAGAACAAAAAAATTCTCTTTATTGATTCTTTTTATTAAAAACAGACAAACCAAAAAATTAGTAATTAATCAAAAATCTATATAAAAAATCTGATCTAATATTTTTTTTAAAAAAAAGAATAAAAAAAGTTTAAAATTTATTAAAGCTTTTTTTTTAACTAATATATAAAGCTTTAAAAGAAATTTTTGAGTTTTTTTAAAAAAATTTGTAAATTTATTTAAGTTCTTATATAGTTAGTTAAATTTAATTACACAAATATATATAAATAACAAAATAAACAAACAACAAACTATATATCTATTTAGTAAATAAACAATTAGTTAAAAGTAAACAACAAAGTCATAAGATTAAATAATAGCAAAACTAAATATATGTTTTTTTTATTAAAATAATGCTATTTACATTATTATTTTTACTATTTATACTATGCTAAATGTTAAAATATTATTAGTATTTTTTAATAAACTTGTTTTTTTAGTTATAAGTTTTGGTTAAGAAATTATTAAAACACTTTTTAGTTAAAACTTTTAAAAATTGTTATAGCAAAAAGGCTTTTTAACTTCTTATAATAACAATAACATAGTTATAAAAATTCTTTACAGATTTATAGCAATGTTCAAAAAAGAAGTATAATTTCTTTAACTAATTAAAAACTATATCTTTCTCTGAGCAGTTCAAGTATAACAATACAATAGTTTATAATTTTATTATTATAAAAGTAATAAATCTTGCTTATAGAAATTATTATAAAAAAAAAGTTTCAGTATATTTTATAAATAAAATAATAATTTTATTAAAAAAATAAAACTATTTGTTAGTTTTTTGTTTTTAAGAAATCTTTTTACACTTTTATAGAAGCTATTACACTAAAGATAAAAATAGAAAAGTGTCTATAACTTGCTTGTATTTGAAAAAATCTTAAGAGTTTATATATCTATTAACAATGATTAAAATTAATTATTAAAATTATAATAACTATTAGTATTAAATATTAAGCATTATATATCAGATATTAAGTGTCAAGCATTAAGTATTAAACTTTAAATATCAAGTATTAGATATTAAGCATCAAGTATTAGATATCAAGTATCAAGTATTAAATATTATAATACAATTGTTTTTTTTTTTATTATAATTATTATAAATAATAACTAATAACTAATAATTATTTTTTTTCAAAACTCTTCTTGCTGATTCTTAATTTCAAAATAAGAAAAAACAAAATATAAGAATAACAGAAAAACAGGTTAGCAAGCACTTTTTAAATGACTAACAAAAAAGCTGTACCAGAAAAAAATATATATAGTATAGCAGAGTTTAGAAGATAAAGAAAACTACACTAAAATATTAACAAGAAATAGCAATATTTTTAATAAGAAAAATAGAATTTTTGGGAAATTAACATTATTCTAAAAAAACAAAAACAAAATACATTATAACTGTAATAACAACAAACAATAACAAACAAACAAGACTTATTATCTAATTAGAAAATAGCAAGCATTATTATAGAATTAGTAATATAGTACTAATAATATACATACTAACAAATATAACAAAAAGTTTAATTCTAAATACTAATTAGTCAAAAAAAAAGATATTAATCCAATCTGTTAGAATATAAATCAATAAATAAAAATTGTAATGTAGATATTATATCTTATATTAGAGAAATAGGAGATAGAAATTAAAGACATGTAAACTATAAAATTCTAAACCAAGTTTTCAAAACTTCTATACAAAACTCAAGTAATATAGAACACATTATTAAAGATTTAACAATATATAATCCAAAATATAATATGTTTTATGACATGCTAGTATATGATCAAATTATAAAAATTTTAAGATTAGCAAAAATAAGCTGACTCAAAGAAGAAATAATCAATAAGTGAATAGAAAAGTTCAGATTAATAAGCTTTAATTTAAACTCTTTTAAATACAATACAAATATAAACAAAAAAGTAACATATTAAGAAAAAAGAAAAATAAATAAAAAGTAAGAACTGATAACACTAGAAAAACAAATAAAAGGTCTTAGCATTACTATATTGTATCACTAAACAAGCCAAACTACTAATAAATCCAAAATACTGAAAAGTATTAAATTACAAAGAATAAAAAAAAATAATAATAACACAGATATAGAATTAGAAGAACAAAAAGAAGAATCAATTGATAAAGAAACTAGTGTTTTATTTTTTATGAATATAATTAAGCATAATTGATAGTTTTCAAAAAACAGAATATATAATAGGAACAGGTCTTTTAAGTCAAATATATCAATATATGCTTTGCCAGATGAATCTAAAGAAAAAAGAGTAAAGTATATTCAGTGGATCTTAGAAAATAACCATCATATTAAAGCAAGCAAAAAAATATTCAAAAATAGAAACAATTATATAGAGATAGATTTTGATTGTGAATATAGCAAAAATGTGACAATAGACAGAATTAGAAGAAAAAAAGATGAATGACTTAAACTTATTTTAGAAGAGGATAAGAATAAAAGTCAAAAAACAGAACAGCAAGAGAAACACAATACTAAAAAAAAAAAAAAGAAAATATAAAACAAATAAGAAAAGATAAAGAAACAAGAAGAATAAAAGAATAAAGAAACAAAAAAAGAAAAAAAAAAAAACTTTATAAAAAAAAACATCATAATAGAAAATTTTGAAGAAGAAAAAAAAAAGAAGCTGTATGAAGAAAAATAGTTAATTATATAAAATCTACTACCAAATATTAATGAAAAAGAAATAAAATATATGTGCAAAAAATTCAAAGACTTGAATATTCTATAAGTTAAAAAATTATCATACAAGGCATTGGCAATAATAGTAGCAAACTTAGAAAAAGAAAAAAATATTTTATGAGTATTACCACTTAGCAATAACAAATTAATATATATAACAAATAGGAATGAAGATTATAACCAAAGAGATAAGTAAGAATAATATATAGCTAAATTATTAAATATTTTAAGAGAAGTCTCAGAAATGTTTTTGCTATGATGTTTAAAAAACAAAGATGCAAAAGCAGTATATATCCTATACAACAGAAATAAAAACCAAAAGAAGTTTGAAATAATTATCTTTACAAATATTTTAGTAACAGAAAAAGCTCAAACAACACCAATATGATACAACAATCACTAAATAAGTTGGAAAAATTCTAGAAGAAAGAAAATACAAAAAAGAGATGAGTCAAAGAGCAGAAAACAAAAAAAATCAAAAATAAATAATAAAAAATAAGAGGTATCAAGAATTAGAAACACAATATAAGAAAAACTAAATAAAAGATATAATAAAATAGGTTTGGACTAGAGGATGGCGATCCTAGTGTAGTGGTTGGGTTGTTATCCTCCAAGTGGCAGGTCTAAGGTTCAAATCCCACCTATGATGAAATTTG